ACGAGGGTTGCGTGGCCGAAGAGGACTGCGGAGCGGTAGTTATAGCTGTGGGCGTTGGGGGTTAGGGCTAGGACGAGGCCGTCTAGGTGGGATGCTGCGATGCAGACGGGAAGGCCCGGCGGGGAAGATGGAGGAGCATCGGAGGCGGAGGAAGTATTGGACGGTTGGCGGGAGATGTTGATGAGACGGGAGGAGACGTAGCCGTGGAGGTAGAGGTCTAGGACGTCGCCTTCGTCGGCGGAGGGGCGGGAGAAGGAGCCCATTTGGCCGAGCATGGGGAGGATCGTGGGGAAGGGGGATTGCGGGTCGTTGAAGGAGACGTGGAGGATTGTGCTTGTGTTTATTATGGTGTGGATTGTGCGGAGGGCGTAGGATGCTGTGAGGGGTGTTAGTTGATGGCTTCGTGAAGAGGTTTTGAGATGAGACTGAGACTGAGAGTGATGCATACCACGCGGGCTGTATCGTTTGACGGTGCCATATGGCTCTTTGGGATACTCAAGTTCAGTGCGAGGCATGTTTGAAGACTTTCTTCTGGTTGAGATGGTTGATGAGATTGTTTGGTATGTTGGTGTTGCAAGAAATGCATAGCTCTAGTGCTGCTGAATGTTCTATTTGAGGTTGTGTGTTTTTCTTTGTATTATATCCCCAATTCTCCAATTTGATAACAAGAAAAGCCCATCCAATAACACAACGAAGAAAAGATACGCCGTTTACGCCCGCCGTCATCCCACCTAGAACTATTGACTCAATTTGAGCAGACCGGGCCGGGTGAGGTCTGTTGTACCTTTCGGGCCCGGCTCCGAAAAGAAGAGAAGGCACGCGGAGTGAGGTGAGGTGAGGCGATGGCGGGAGGAGGGGAACAGGAGGTTAGCGGCACCGGCAAGCGGCATACCTGCACACGTTACAATCGCACGCCAGACTAGATCGAGTAGGTCCAACCAGCCTTCTTGCTGGCTGTCAGGCTCCCGCTGCCAGTGGCCATTTACGTGTGGCGCGAAGGAGCTAGCGGCCATGCAAGATCTTGTGCTAAGAAAGTGCTTGTCTCCAGTGATGACCTTTGCGGTCGTCGTCTGTGGACGAAGCGGCGCGGGACCTGAGTGAGCGGGCGGGGGCGGAATTACCGGATAAGGTGTGGAGGCGCGTCCCCGGTCTGGCTCTCGCCGATGCGGGATCACGGCTCTACGGTTGTGAACCAGACATCTCATCACTGCATTTGTATATTGGAACAAGTAGTCTTGTCCATCGCTTGAGTCAGCGGGGGGGAGTGAACATCCCAAATCCGCTCAAAAGCCTGAAAATGCCGTTGGGGGAAAGTGCTATAGCGAGACCAGTCTATTCAAAGCCCGACGGACTTGAGCCTGATCCTCGCCCTCTCCCAGGCCCCAAGTCGGCAAAGGTTATTTTTCTTGTCCTTCCATAGACGTTTGTCCCAAAACCTTAGACTACTGCCGACGCCCAAGACTGCAAAGTTCACCATCATCTGTATGTAAGTGTAAGAGGAAGGGAAGAAAAAACGTTAGAGTTGAGGGCGGGGTAAAATGATGGACGGCGATCACGTTCGTCTCCTGGGGCCATCAGACGGGACAAGCTTCATGACCTAAAGGTTTATTCGTTGTGCTTTGGTGCGTCCCCGAGTCCTTGAAAGTTGGAATAATGAGAGTGAGCCATCGTTGAAGCAATCCTGTTGCTACCTTGCGCTGTTGGCCTGCAGAAGCTGTTTTGCTTATTCTTCACGCCTTATTGAGCTCCTTTGGTATCATCTCCTGAAGCCGAGGCGTTAATCGCCTTTGTGTATTGTCATCATGCATCGAAGTATGGTATCTTTCATGTTATCGCACGACTTCGCCTCCATAATGACATATCGGTAGTGACATCTTCCGGACGCGCTCACGGGCATCTATCGTTAGAGAAACAACACCTAGTGTCCAAGGCTACTGCAGAGTATTTGACAGCAAACGCACAGAGGGAACCGAGTGGAAGGAAAGTTGGGAAACAAAGGCGCATGCAGAGGCGGTAGAAACAAGTCTTGCGTTGCTTTACCTGCCAGTGGCGCCGCTGCGTACCTGCGCCGCCCTCCCCGCATACCCGCGCAGAGTCAAAGAGTCTTGATGTCTTGGTGTCGGTATACGGATACTACACTACTTAGACAGAGTGACAGTCAAGACAGTGTACACTACCTCATGGACGGTTGTGTTGGTGGTGTAAGAAGTTGAGCGGCTGGTCGGATTCGGTAGCAGCCGAAACGCAGGATAGCTGGGCGGCCAAAGCTTGATTGATTAGCCTTTTGGGACCATCCGACCTTTACTAATCAGCTAGTGCTCTCGGTCTCTGCAGCACGTAATTCACAGAGGTGAAATCACTGGAACTTGGAAGCACTCTTGAGTCTTGAGTCTTAAGTGTTGAGTCTAGCCCTCGTGGGCAACCTCCGCCGTCACAGGGGAACCCTCGTCAGGTGTCTCCACTGTAGAGGGTGCGCCAAGAAACATCGAAGCCCCTGACAAATCTCAGGGAACACTGGGAATCTCCCATTCTTTTCTTCCACCCAAACTTCATCCTCACACCCGCGTCTCCCTCGTGACTCTCGCCTTCAACACACTACAGATGCAGAGTAAGAGAGACTCTCACAGTCACACAGACGCAGACACCTCAGCCCTTTTCTCTTCATTCCATCACACCAAAAGTCCACACTGTCTGAGCGGCTGCAGACCTGCCCCTGGCGCCACCGGCTTCTTCCCTGTATCCGCCATCCGATTCTCTAGAGTCCTCGACTGCAGCTGGCTCTCCCTTAGCTGACATTATTTCCCCCATGGCTCGACCTAAATGCCCGATGCAAGTGTATCCTCACGGCTGCATTCGTCAACGGAGTGAGAGAATGCGAGCGAGGACTAGGACGAGGACGAGGATGAGGTGCCTTGCCGCATGATGGAAACACATGCCACCCAGCCCAGAACCGAGGATAGCTCTGCCAAAAGGTGATTACTTTCCAGAGAGAAGGCGTTCGGTTCCTCTTGTTTCGATCAACCAGGAGTTCCAGGACATCTGCAGGTCAAAAGGAGGTACGCTGCACAGGGGCACCGCCGTTGCGTCCAATGAAGGTTCTATTCTCGGTCTCTCTCCTCTGCTAAGCGCAGGTAGGTTCCTGATGCGAGGAATGCACCTCAGTACCTTCTTTCTCCCCTCCCTCATGGTGAGGCCAGCGTCAAAGTTAGACGCCAATTGCCAAACAGCAAGGGCAGGCTGCGTGTGTTGCCACGTACGGCCAGCAATTGGCCGAGTCTGTCGTCTTTCATCTTCAGGATGTTCCTCTGGTATTACTACTGCACAACTGTTCGACAAAGCGCCGAACTTCGAAAAGTCCTTGTTGCAAGTCTGCGGGTCAAGTAGCCCCAAAGTTGAGCCTCACTTAACCATCGCCACTCCATTGGACGATGACGATGGGGCACAACAAGTATTGTCAAGGTCTGCGCTGCTCTTGTGTTGTCTCCAGCTACTACGACTGACGAGTCCATCCAAATCGTTCCACGCCAGTTGAGAAGAAGAAACCCACAAAAGGGTTTGACGTTCCTGTTCCGATGACAAGAATAAACCAATCCAGGTCCCAAAAGACAAAGAGGCGAATTGCCATAGATGAGAAGAGACCACCAGCCAGACAGACACACTGGACCAGACCCCCCCCCCCCCAAGAAAAAAAAACCCAGAAAAAGATAAAAAAGTCAAGACGGATGGAATGAAATGGGACCTCTGGCCGGCCCTGGACCCCTCCATCCCGAACATCGTGGGTTTCGACGCTGAAACAGAGTCGACGCACGCCACGGCGTCGTGGTGGATAGAACAAGGTTCTAACCCCTGTCAGCCTTGCCGCCAGCCCAATCACTGCCCCTGACCAGTGCCGGCATGAACGACGTATCGAGGGATCTCACACAGCACCCTGCCCACGGCCGGTTTGAGATCCTCTTCCCTCCTACATACACTACCTACTCTTGTCAAGTCTACTGTCAAGTATCCCATTTTGCAACTCGACTCTTTAGAAGGACCAGACATCATTTCGACCGATTCTGGCTCTGGGATTGGCTTAGACCATCCGCTGAGGTAACATCTGACCGGGTCCTCCAAGACCCCATACCGAGAATAACCTTGGAAATAGGCTACCACAGTATGCCCGTTCCATGAGACGAGGCCGGGTACTTCGTAACGATACTGCAGTTTGCTGGTACTGCTGGTACCCTTTGAGCTCTGTGCCTCCCTATCGTGTGTCCCTGGCGTTACGTCTTCCTGCTCCCCATCTTGCTCCAGCGCGGCAGCCCATACGTAGACGCAGCCGCAGAACCACCGTCCATCTATCCGTCCAGCCGTAGGTTTCTCTATTGCATACACAACCACATCCAGATCTACCTGCTCAGAGTCTCTGACTATCCGTACCTGACCTTCAACCATCTGCACACACCCCCCTCCCGGTTTGTCTGTCTGCCGGCTACTCTGTTCTCCTTCCCTCTTCGTCTGTGCCCCCCGTCTTTGCTCTCCACTCTGGTGCGTCCCCGAAAGAGTATCGAGAGGACAGCCGCCTCTGCTCGTCCTACCGCGCGCCCTCACACATCTCCATCCTGTCATCCTTCATACCATCTATCTGCCACTTCGTGTGTACATCGTGGGGCATCTTTCCTGTCATGTTTGTCTTTGTTTGATCGTGGAATGCTACCATAGTACGAGGCATTCTCACAATGATTCGTTTCCTTCACTAAGACTTTTTCTCTTTCCTTCAACATTCCCCCATTGACTGGGTTTTTTCGATTCTTCTCCCGGCCGGCCCGCGGCCCCGACAAACGAAATGTTCATTCCAGGAATTGTTCAGGCCTTGGTCTCGGCCCTTATCTTGTCAGTCACCCGTCATCCACTCCATCGTCGACGTCAGTTAGGGAAAGCTGGGAGCTTCGAGGTCGAGAAGGAGGCATGGGAGACAACGAAAGAGAGGAGGGAACCGTGAGAACGGAAGGAGAACATTTGCGCTAACCATCCTGATCAATAGTGGAATCGTCATCCAAGCCGCGACGCCCGCCGTCTTTCCTTTAGCAAAGGGCCATGGCTCAAAGATCTTTCGGGACGGCCTGAGGCTGGTCCTCATCACATTCCTTGTATCATCCGCCCTGTGGGCTCAAATAGACTTCACCGGCCTCACCCTCGACCCAACCTCGACTGCCGGATGTCAAGTCGCCGTAATTTTTACTACAATCTTCGATCAACTTGCTCGATTTGCCATTGAGCAGTTCCTGTTATGGGCCATCAACGCGAACGCGAGAGCGCCAGCGAGCGCCATGGTCTATCAGGCGGTCCTCGGCGTGCGGTTCATTCTGGGCGCCGTATTTGTTGGGTTCCAGAAGGCTCAGATTGCCACCGTCTGCGTCGCCAGGAATGATCTTCTGGCTATCGGTGCTGTTGTCATGGTCACAGACTTCGCCGTGATTGCTGCGCTCGCCTTCCGAGCCAATTCGATTGGCATCACGAGCGCGCAGGTGAAGAAGGCCATCTTCTGGGTCATTGGCGCCCTCGCCCTCTGGACGGCGGTACGTTCTACACGCTATTACTCTGACGTATCATGAAACTAATCATATTCTATCTTGATAGACAAGTATCCCAATGCTTTTGGGCATAGACACCATAGAGCTAATCTTTAGAACTGCCCTCCCCGCCACTGGCCTGTCTATCCTTCTCAGTATGTGAGAAGCCTTCGGCTCGCTGCGTCAATTTGCTAACACTTCCCAGGTATCCTTACAGGCTCTCTGGGAGTCTTGCTGCCCCCTCGTCAAAAGCAAGAAGTTCACCCGGATGCTCAGTCCCCGCGAAACATCAGTTCCAGCAGAGACATCTCAACTTCAGACACTGACTACCCGCCGTCGCGATACGAGGACCTCAAAGGAGGCACGATTACTACTGTCACGACTTTCAACCAGCCTGTCGACTTTGGTGGAGGTGGCGGCGCTCTACCCACCATGCCTAGCATCGCTCCGGGTCAGGCATCTACCGGTGTTGGCGGTGTTCCCGTGCAGGGCCAGCTCTTCCCACCGATTCGGGCGCAGACGGCTCCTCCCAGGCAAAGCAGAAGCATGGACGCGAGACCTAACATCATGAAGGGACGGAGCATCTTCGACAAGATTGGACCGGGCTCGAACATCAAGAATGCTATTTCCAACCCGATCCTCCAGGACAGCGGCGAGCAGAACCCCCTGAGCAAGATCGCCACCATCGACCTCGCCACGGCTGCAAAGAACGACAGGGAGAAGAGGGGTAACGACTTTACTTCGATGCAAAGGAATTCGAGTTTCAACGCGCAGCGCCCGGCTCCCAAGCCCCCAGCGATTACTCCGGAAGAGGCTCTCAAACGTGCTCAGAGTGGAAAGAGGAAGGAAATTGGGCTGAAGTCGCCTCCTGCGGAACCGCAACAACTCCGGTCGGTTGGGCTCATGTCGAACCCTCCCGCAACGACTTCGTCCGCCCAGCTGTCCCCCGGCGTGGAGGAAATCAGACGCAGATCCCCCAGGCAAATGCCAGAGACCCTCCAGCAGCTCGAGAATGAAAAGAGACCGGCCACGCCCCCGCAGACCGTACCCGTGAGCAGCATCTCTCCGCCTCGCCCACAACGGCCGGAAAGACCCCTGAGCCCCTTTGAGACGATGGAAAGATCAGCCAGTCAGCGTACCGTGGAGAGGACTATGAGCCAGAAGACGCAAAAGACCCTCGATCGTTCCGTGAGCCAGAAATCCTCTACCGCGACCGAATTCACGATTGCGTCACCGCCCCTTGGTCTCGTGCCTCCGCCTCCGCCCAAGAGCGCTGCTCGTTTGATGTCACCCACCAAGAAGCCGGATCTGCCACCAACCTGGCCTATCCAGACCGCCGTTGACCCGACAATCCGTCCTTCCAGGCAAAAGCCTCTCTCGCCCAAGACGCCTGGTGGCAGCAGTTTGCAGCGACGGCCGACTGGTGGTCTGCCGTCGAACCCGAGGGCTATGGCCATGAGGCCTTTGCCCAAGGACGCCGTTCAACAGGAGCAGACTGTCATGTTCGTGAATAAGATCCAGTACAACGACCCGACAGCAGTGCAAAGCATTATCGAGGGAGCTTCGAACCAGGCCGCCAAGACGCCTCTTATGCAGTCTCCTGGGCCAGGGCTCAAGTCATCAGGATCCGTCGTTCATAGACCTCGCCCGATCCCGAGACAGCAGGGCAAGGACCGTCAAATCTTCCCAGCAGAGAACTCTCCTAACCACAGGCGGAGCAAGTCAGGTGGTTCCATCATGAGCAGGAAATCGATTCTTTTGTCGAACCCTGGCAGCCCAACTCAACTACCACCTCTGCCACCACCACCGAAAAGCGCCGGTAACCAGCCTGTACGCGCACTGCCAAATGACACTAAGAGCATGACTTTCGATGAGAAGATGGAACTTTTCTTCCCGGGAGGTCTTGTCAACTCTGAGACGGGCGTCCAGCCCAGGACCCCAGTTCCCGAGATGCCCATGCTTCCTTTGGCCTTCAAGCCTGCAAGCAACTCAGGAGGTGACGAGAGAGATGCTTGGGAATCAGGAAGCAGTCGGGATCAGTCCAAGCAGTCCGATCGCTCAACAAAGACGTCCGTTCGAACTCAAAGTATCCTTGATATCGAAGAGTCAGTCAGGCCAGATCTGCCCCGCAACACCTCCAAATTCAGCGTTGATACCTCCGTTATTACTGGAAGACCAGATGAGCACGATTCTTGGATTCCTGCGTTACCTGTCAATGACACTGCGGAGATCAAGCGAGCATACGATGGAGCAAAGCGCCAGTCATCACCTGTTATTCCGGTTCGCAACCCTAGTCTCTCTGAGTTCAGCGAGACGAGAACGGTCAGGACTCGCGATGAGGAGACTACGACAAATTGGGGATCCATCCACTCACCTGTCGTACCGGTGAACATTCAAGAGGCTACGCACATGCCTAAGCCGACGTGGATCCAGCCTCGCGACTTGTCCATGATCAGCCATAATGACGGCAAGGAGGTTATGACAATCATGCTCGACGCATCTGTTGAGCACGAGAGGGACGTTGAAGCCCCGCAAGAGGCTCGCGAAAGCCCTGTCGACCTTCCAGAGGTGAGCCTCGCGAACAGAGGCGCTCGCTGGCATCGCCGCATCGGTGACGAGAGCATCACATTCACTGAGCGCAAGGAGCCGGTGCAGTCGCGCAGACAGCCCCCTCCGAGGGCTCTTCAACTCAGATCTCCTGTCAAGAAGAACGCGATCGTGATGCACGCCGCAGAACCTTCTCCGTTGGAGTCACCACAGCATGCTTACGAGATGATTCAAGCGCAACTCAAGAAATTGGAACAGCCGAACCGCGACTCGTACGAGAGCCAGGGACAGAGGATTCGTCTTCTGGAATCTTTGGAGGCTGAAATGGGCCAGCAAGAGAACCAATGGCACGAGATGCAGCACGGTCTCAGCCGGGACTCCATGTCGACAGTTGGGACGACATCGGTCCGCAACTCGCAACACGAGTCTGCAATTGTCAACTCACGAAGCCTTGCTCAGATTGACGAGTCGCTGCAAGAGATTCCCCAGCGCAACAACATTGCGTTAGACCGGCGCAATTCCCGTCGCGCTCGGATGGGCAGCATGAGCAAATCGTCGTCTGAAGATCTGAGGACGCTAAGCGCCTCTTCCCTCTCTTCTGACGGCACCAACAACAACCGCACCAGTCTCTGGCAACAGCGACTTGCGGATGCTCAAATGGAGTATATGGAGAACGCTTCCGAACTATTGGCAAAGAGAAACCTCAATTTCTTGTCTGTCTCAAAAGCGCCCTTGAGTGCGACTGCTGCGGCGTTGCAGCTTGGCAGTCCTACCCCACCGGACACCGACGAAGAGTCCGACGGTGGTGACGGTGTCGACGCTCAGATACTCGCGAGGCTCATGCCGAACGAGCGAGCTCCCGCACCCCCAGAATGTCTGTGGAAACCCGACTCGCCAGTTTATTTTGAGCGCGAACCACCGCTGCTTTGGGCTCCTCCCGCAAACCATGGCGTCGCGTCTAAAGTTACTTCCCCCCAAGGCGACGCCTTACCTGGTATCTCCGTTCGCCCTGCGACACGCAAGGTCTCCGATCCCCTAAATATCGTGAGCTCGCAACTTTGGCAGCCCGATCACACTGCTGCTAAAAAGCTACGGCCCACCTCCGGACTTTGGCGTGTCTCTTGGAGCCCTGAGCCCATCAAGGATAACTTCCAACAGCCCCAGCGTCCCCTGACCCAACGCCCACCAAGACGTAGCAAGCGTGTCACACTGTTGCCCGATATCCTTGAGAGCCCGCAACCCCTTCCTGATAAGAGAGGTACGCTCGGTATCTTCCAGTTTCCCTGGGGCGAGAAGTCGGACACCGCCACCGTCCAACCGCGTGGGCCAAGTCATATGTTTATGGCTATGCCCGGTACTATGTCAACTGGTGGACCTGCAGTACGTGCCGCATTAGAAGCCCGCGCAAAGCAACTCGAAGCTCAAGAATACTCCTCTTCCTTCTTTGACGACTACGACGACGAGGAAGAAGGCGACGACGAAGTGTCTGATATTGAAGACGACGAAGACAGTGACGACGGCTTCGACGAGACCACCCTCTGGGAAATCGCCAGTCTCCTCCAGTCGGATCAGGTCCCATCCAAGAACAGTCTGCTCCCCCAGCCCATGACATACCGCCCAGAGTCCTTTGCCGAGGAGTACATTTCCGAGCGCTCTCAGTCGGAGTACGAAGACTCCGAGGACGAGAAGACAGCCGAGGGCAACGACGACACCAAGAACGATTCAATGGTCATCACCATCGCCGCCGAGGAGTTCTCCTCGCCGGAGCCCGTCTCCCTTCTCTGGACACCCAAGCCAAAGCAGTTCATCAGCCGTCGCACCTCAAAAGGTCTTCCGCAACCCGATGCCCGCATCTGGGGAAGCTACCTCGACAAGATGAGCGCCCCTGCCCGCGTCCGCGAGCGTCCCCCAGAGCCCGCCGTCATCCACAGCACTTCTCTCTGGACCGCGCCTGCAAAGAAGCAAAAGGTGGCCCAGTCCAACACTCCCCTCTGGAGCAAGCCGCAGCAGCAGCGCAAGAGCAAGACGACGTCCATGTGGGCTGCCAGGCCCGCCGTCGTCTACACAGAATCTACTGGCCTGTTCAACCCCAGCCACAAGCGCGCGTGCTTCAGGACGACGTCGGCTCTCCCCGTCGGCCTCGGCATGCCCTCCGCCGCCCGCGTGACGTCCGAGGAGCTGCCTCAACTCGAGTCGTTCAGCCTCTGGGTCCCTACGCCCGCAGAGACCCGTGTCGAGGACTGGATGTCCCTCGCCGTCGCCAGACCCAGCTCCCGCGCCTCATCCGGCCGCTCTACGCCGTCTCTGGACACCGCATCAACACGATCTGACGATGAGGAAGTTGTTTCTGACTTTGAGCCGCTCCCCGAGGTCCCTGCCGTCAAGCAACCGACGTGGTGGGATTCCCTCAAGTCCCAAATGTCCGCTCAGCCGCCGTCCCCCCAGCCTGAGCCCCTCCGCCGCACAACAGCGACGTCAGCGCAATGGGAAGCCGCTCTGAACGAGGCCATCGGCGCGATTCCTGCGCCGCGTCTCGTGCGCAAGGCTTCCACACCGTCAGAGTGGGCAGAGGCTCTCAACCGAGCCGTCATCTCATCCTTCTTCAACGCAGCGACCTCTCACCCGGCCTTCGCAGGCTCCGTGACGACAACAACCACTTGTGACCCCGCCGTTGCAAACCCAATCTTCTTCGCCTCGGTTCCTTCTTCTACCGTACCCCTCTGGACCGCCCCCGTCGTCACCGTCCCCAAAGACACGGGCATCATGTGGATCCCGCCCACCAAGCCCCGGCGCCACGCGCACGACACGACGCCCATGAAGTCCGAGGACCCGGAATCCCGCCGCCTGCGCATCAAGCGCACCAAGAAGATGGGCGGAACCAGCACCGACCCGTCCACGTTTGGCCTCGTCAGCTTTGACGGCCAAGCCATGTGGAACAACGTCTACGGTGCCGAGCTTAGAAGCCGGAGTGTTACGCCTCTGGGCGGTGGACGGTACTGGATCGCGGAGGACGTGGCTCAGCAGTCTGTGGAGGAGGATCTGATCATCCAGTTTGGATGAGAGAAGAATTGCTGTGGTGTTTGTGGACAAAAGATTGGAAATGGATATCCAGAATTAAGAAAAAACAGGACCTGAGATTGTCATCTCAGGTAAAGGAATCGGTGACACGATGTACGAAGAAATCAGTGGTCCTTTAACATAGCGTTTTGTTTCCGCGAGGTTGTGGGAAATTCCCTTCTTTTTCTGAAATGACTTTTGCAGTCACACCCACACTCAGACAGTGGTTTTCTTTTTATCTTGTCTAGTAGCTACAAAAGCTTGAAGTATTCCCACCTTGTTTCCCAGGATCAGTAACGTGTGTTTATGTGTGTGTGTGTTCTTGTAACGTGGTAATATCATCCCCTTTTGTCACACACGTCAGAATGTCATTGTCTCTTCAAGACACGGGGCCATACACTACAGGAAAGCTAGTCGGCAGAAATGGAGGATCCTCCAATATCAAGATCCATTCTATCCATGCGATGGGCCGTCGTGTTTCTTCCAATGTTGCGCGAGCCACCTACCTGTCTCTATTTACCTAGGCAGCTGAGTTCAATCAAACCTGTCATGTATCATCCAAAGAAGAATAGCCCTGGAAACTCGAAGATTTGGGTCCGGCTACAAACCGTAGAGTTGGATTTACCTAGGACGTATGGGGCTTCCTCCAACCAACACCACCAAAGGAGTTTCCGTCAACTCTATCTAGAGTTAAAGAACAACAACAAATGGTAATCTAAAGATGGCTAGAGTACACTGCATCTTTTGCTTCTCTTTCCCTAAACCTTGCCTATCCTTCTATATAATAAAGTAAGGTAGTAGAACCCTGATGGCTGCAACTCGAATCGTCGACTACTACCCAGCCCCATATAATCCTTCCACTATTCGTACACAAAACGTCTTCACCTTCGTTCTAGCGACAGTCACATTCCACATAAAAACGAAGGACTCTGCAAGAGAAGACTCTGAAATTATTTGCCATTCATTAAGTCTCATGTTACGACGTCTTCGTCTTCGTCTTCGTCTTTTCCTACTTCTTATCCCTCTTCGCAGCGACGTCATTACTCCCATCATATATATATATATATTCCAATACTCGAAACGTGCATCATCATTATTCAAAAGGAACCCTACGAAAGCCTTTCCCTCGGTCCTTCTCCACTTTGACAAGCCCGGAATTAATACTTGGCATTATTTTGTGGCCCGTCATGATCCATGTTCCTTTCCCATCATAACCATGTCAAAGAGTACGCCTGACGAAAATCGCTAGTGAAGAGATGATATGAAAGAGGATGAGCCCTGGTAACGATGCGAATTCGTGCCAGGTATGGCGACGCCTCCCAAAACAAATAAGAAAGACATGGTGCCTGGCGAAAGAGGGAGGGAGGGTGGAAACATATGCCCATCATGTACAGTCTTGTAATCATGAGCTGATGGAATGGAAGCGAAAAAAAGACCACCATACGCGAAGCAAAAGCATGTACGAAAAAAGGAGGGTAAAAAAGCCGTGAGATATAACCAATGGGCCGACCAATGAACTGATCCTGTCTGTTTTGTTTTTGCCTCTTCGTCTACCCATGGCATAATGCCACTGCAAGAACTAGCTGAAAAAGAGTACTAGGTCTCTAACTGAGGTAGATATCTGTTTCGGCACATGGCCCATCTTCGCAATGTGGATCACGTGTCGTGCGCGATGCTTTGATTCCAATTTCCATTTTCCTCTTTCATTTCCTTGCCCTTTTGTTTTGTTTTCGTTCGCATTCCCATTTCATCATCCACCCGTTCCTTCGCCAGAGGGTGCTTGTCCTGCCATGGCATTCCATTAAACCTGGGCTTGAGGACTTGCCTAGCGAAATCGTACATGATTACGTCGTCATAAGCCTTCTCTCGTTGGTAAGAAAATAATAAAGAAGCGTTAGGGAAACCCAGCTGGAAAAGCTGGAATATGTATCTGTCTACAAGGCTTGTTGCCAGCCACAGATGTCGCAGTGCAGAGAATTGGCGGCTCGTTCCATTCGGCCGAGTCGATCGAGTCGAAAAAAGCTGCCGGGATTGTCTTTTGTGTCGGATGTGGCGGCATCGAGTGAAAGAAAAAGGGACAAAAAGAAACCCCCAACTGAAAACCCCCCAAAACCGTCGCTATGCAGACAAGAAAATCAACAATGTTCGTACATGTACAGGGCTGTTGTAGCCCGAGAAGAACGGACAGGCCGTCACGCCGTCAAGGTTTCAGATGTTGTGATTCAACATCTCTTGCCTCATCTCAGCTGACCGTCATCATTTGCATCCGTTGTAAGCCGCTTGACGGCGAAGCGTCAACTGATCCACGACCGAGTGCAGAATTTGCGCTTCTACTGTGAGGCAATTTCTTGGGCGGGCTGGATGGGGACGGAGTATGCTCTGGGGTGAAGACCCTGGTAAAGGCCGGGCTATCGTTGTGCTGCCGGGGTGTTCTGGCAGGGCTCGATGTAAGTTGGTCTGCGCGGCGTATAACCTCTGACAGGATGTCCCGGAGATCGCCTGCGCGCTTGACGAGAGCCTTAAGGCTGTTGGTGCCAAAATGCAGCTTGTCGTCGCGGGCAGCGGCATCGGAGACGGATCGTTGCTGCATGGCGTCCAGGACGGATCTGACAATATCGGTAACGTCGTGGCCACCCATATTGATGTTATTCTCCGGCGTTCTGGGTCGCGGCGGAGGAAGCTCATCCGGAGCGGGACTGTTTCCGCCAAAGATGTCGTCGTCTGGAGAGAAGACCGAACGTCTACGACCAGCGGGGCGTTCACGAATGACGGCTGTTTTGGAAACGTTGATCTCGTGTACCTCATCAAAGGGATCTTCCTTCTCGATGGGGTCCGGCGACGCAGCGTCGAATCCGCTCATGATAGAGGACGAGTCCACGTCCATGCCCTCCAACTCATCTTCATCAGGTGACGCGAGTGCAATGATGCCTTCGGCTTCCTCCCAGAGACCTGCGTTGGAGCCGCCGAGCATATCCAGATCTCGACCATGGCGACACAAACGCTTGAGATCGTTGACGAGCAGCGAGAGCTCTCTGATGTGGCCGGAATGCTGCTTGAGGCTAGGTTGTGACGCTTGAATGGAGGCGGGAACGACCATTGCGAATGCGTTTTCGGTTTCCTTGTCTTCGCTCTCGTTGCCACCAAACTCAAAATCATCGTCCCAGTCCTCGCTGACAGTCTTGCTGCTCAGGCCCCAGGTGCCGAATTTGGGATTCACTGGTCCCCTGTCCGTAGGATCGTGGACTACTGGCACACTTTGGCTGCGGACGTGCATGGCTGAGGGTCGCATCCGGATAGCGGCGCGACCACCTCTGATATCAAGTTCTTGCTTTCCATAGGCGGTCTTTGGTCTGAAGGAGCTGCCAAGGTCGGTCTTCTCTTGGGTTGGTTCACTCCAGTCAAATATGTTGCTTCTCGGCCTCTCGCTAGGGTCGTGCGTTGCATCGGCGTTGCCGTTACCGCTAATGTTGGCAAGCGCCATGCGCAAATTAGGGCTAACGCCACGCGAGTTCATCGAGCTAGGAGGCGATAGCTGGTTGCTGTAGGCCATTTCGTCTTCGTCGCGTGCCCAATCTTCATCGAAATCGTCTTCGATAGACAGGCGACCAAAGTCCTTGCTTCCGAGCGAGTACTCATTCGAAGGGCGTTCCAAGCTGTAGCGCGGTGCCATGGTGTCCGAATCGGTACGAATTCTGGGTTCATGATGAACACGGACCGGCGTCGGCATGTTTTCGTCCTCTTCCATGATTCTCTCATTAGCATCCCACGAGTGACTGAGCATTTCCTGAATGGACAGCCTCTTGGCCTTGGGATGACCGGCAGTGCTTGGTGGCGACTCATCAAACATGTGGTCGAGTGGGGTTTCCGCTGCACGATTGCGATCGGATTCGGCAGTTCGCAGCGAGTCAAAGACGGTATCGCTCTGTAGATCCGTGTCATAATCATCGCCAGAAATAAATCTAGCATCGAAATCGGAGCTGTTCATGGTCGAACTACGGTCTGTCGTAGCGCTGCGATTATACGCAGCTAGCGCTGCCGAGCCCTGGGAACTGCCAGAGGGATGTATTGAGCGGGGAGATGGAGTAACGCCTCCCGACGAGGAGCCAAGTCTAGAAACGTCGACGTTGAAGCTGGAAAGACGTGAAAGCGGCGGCAAGGGCGACGAAGAATTGCGACTGCGCGTCCTGAGGTGCGTATTTGAAGTGGGGTCTAGGCTGGCGGCAAGGTGATGCTTTGGCGACGTTTGAGACTCGTCTGTAGCCGCTACAAGGTTGTTGTCTTGCGCTTGCGCCTGGCCGGGGGATGTCGTCGTAGGCGCAGACACATGCCGCTTATTCCCACCACCACCACCACCTTTAGATCCCGCCCCGCGTTTTGTTCGTCGGAGGCTGCCAGCTCTTGGCATCCAATTTGGGGAGTTGAAATGCATTGTAAGCGATCGATGTGTGCGCTTTGTCGGTGTATCTTCTGGTGTTGACGGGGTGTTGTCTTCTTGCGACTCTCTTTCTGTTTCCTTCTCACAATGAGCCTCCTCGTTTGTGTCGTCGACGGCTGATGGGGGATCTTCGACAAGAACCAGGGCTTCTTCAACGGGCGCAACCGAGTCTCCCAACATGCCACTCCTTATTAAGTAAATATCCTGCTTTTGGCTGTCGGGTACTAGTATGCGTTTTGTTGTTGCCGATCGGGTGCTGGGACTCCGGTCAATTATACGGTCAGGCACGCTCCGTGCAATGACATTTGCTCTGCGATTGTGGAAAAATGAGGTCCACTTGGTTGTTGATTTTGATTTTTGCTGTAAGGTCGATTCGCCTTGGGGTCGCGGTGGCACAGGGCCTTCTCCTGCTTCCTGAAGATATTGGTCAAAGGAGAACTTTGGTTCTGCAATGGGCTCGATGTGGTTTCCGTCGTAATTGATCTGGTGCAAGGTGGCAGATCTTTGGTGGCTCGTCGCTGGTCGGCGAAGACTGGGAAGGTGTGTCCTGGAGCGACGGCGCATTACAGGACCATTCTGGTGTGCCGAGGGCGGGCGCTTCACCAGTTTATTCGGAGGCAAAGGAGGAGGAACAGAACCGGTAGGCGAAAGGATCGGAGCGGCGGAACCGTGAGAGAAAGCGACAGACTGGTTATCGAAACCCAAACTCGATCTGATGCTTCCGTGTTGTGACAAAGGCCGTAGTGACAGGCGCCTCATCCAGGACCCACTGGAGGAAACAGAGTCTCTCGTATCCTCATTGACCGAGGGCGCAGCTGCTTGGTCTCCCTGCTTCACGTAGGACGCTCTCCTGCTGTGCAATATGGAAGGCGCAAAGTTGAAGTGAGAGCTGAGAGGACGGCGAGGGCGCGCAGAGGGTTCGGCCGGGGCGTCGTTTGGGTTTGAATTCGAGTTGGAGTTGGAGGTGAAGGAGAAGTGGGTGGGAAGCGGCGAGTAGCGGGCGTCGTCGAGGACCGGCAGCTGGGCAACAGAACTGGTGCCGGGCCGTGAGGAAGAGACGGGCGGGCTGCTCAGTCGATGATTCGGAGGAATGTCTTGGTCTGAGACTAGTATCCTCCTGTTGGAAGAAGACTGTGTGGAACTCGAATCGTCGGGATGAGCAAACACTAGACCTACAGCCGCTGCAGCAACGGCAGTGCCAGTTCCCACGAGCTAATGAGGCGACGAGTCAGCAGGCAAGATGGGATGAACCAGGCAACAGAAGAACAAGATATCAGGGACACCGGTGCTGTGTGCGGGAAAGCATGGGAATGGAGGAGTATATGGGAAATGAGGAAGACCCATATAGGGCGGGAATTGGTGTGTCTACGGGAGAAGAAAGCATGCGCAACACAGTATCCGCGTGGTTGTGATCCAAGCAGGTGTTGGGGGGATGCCTGTCGGGGTGGATGGCAAAGGCTAGTAAGCAAGCATGAAGGCAATCCAACTTACACTGGGAACAGTCTGCATGATTGCAGAGCCTTATTCGACGCGGGAGAACCAAGCTACGGCTACGAGGCCCAAGACGGGCATGCGGGCGGAAGAGTCGTGGATGCTCTCGAGAGACGTGGTGAGCATCGTCAAGACATATGGGCCAATTTCTCGGGTCGTATGGTGAGGAATGCGCGTGTCGAGCCTTTGTGATTTGCGAGGTGTGGGTGGGTGGGTTGCGTCGCGGTCTCGGCGGGCAGAAAGAAGACGGATTCCAGGAGAGGGAAAGAGTAAGAGAGAGGGAGAGAGAGAAAAAGACTGAGAAGTTTGAGAGAACAGGGGAGCAAGGTCGAATCGAAGTAAAGAAATCCTAGACAAGAGCCGTTGGCGAGTTGAGCTGGTGGTGGTGGTGGTGGTGGTGGTGGACGTAAGGTGAGTTGTCTAGTTGAAGAGCGAGAGTGAGGCCCGAGACAGAGAAAGGGCTGTATCGGTAGGGCGAAAGAAGAATCGCACACACGTCGAGCGACCGTGATCTCACACAGACGGATTGACCCTCGGACAATCAAGTAATACGGCCAATGGGTCCAGGAAACCCCCCCGTTAGACCAGAATAGAAGGCGAATGGAAAGAAAAGGACGCTGGAGACCGAAGAGAAGGGAAGAGGAGGAAGGAGGAGGAAGAAGCGCGCAAGCGGGTTGAACGCGGTAGAGGTCAGATCAAGCCAGACCCGGACACGGTGAGGTGAAGTAAGGACCCGTCCCGGTAGGAAGGTAGGTAAGTAGAGGTAAGTTAAGGTAAGGTGAGGGCGAGTTCGAGAGTGGGTGAGGAGGAGAGCAAGGTGGGTGGAATTGGAGACGGGATGGATGGGTGGACGGGCAGACGGGGTGGGCGGCTTTGGTGTGGTGTGGGTGAAGTGTATGGTGTCCGTGGGAGTTGATTCATTCGTTTTCTCGGATGGTCAAGGTAGTAAGGTCCAAGTCCGGATCCAGGTCCAGGTCCAGGTGTCAAGGTCCAGGTCAAGGTGTCGGTGCTGATGCCGGTCGGTGCTGGGTGTGGTTCAAAAAGTCCAAGGTTCGGAGAGAGGTCAAAGAGGAATGGACGACGAGGGAAGCAATGCAGATGCAGAGCAGACAAGAGCACAAAGCAGTCTCTGTGTGTTATGGCAGAGTACAAAGTCGAGGAATTGGCAGCTAAACCGAGTATAGAGAGGGTGGACACTGGATGGACAGGTCGCTGCGGTATGGTATGGTATGGTATGGTATGGTAAGGATAATGGAGAACAAAAAGAATAAGAAGAAGAAGCAGGGTCGTCGTTCCCAGAGAGGATAAGACCGGGATAGACCAGGCTAGCTGAGCTAGAGACTCTCAGTCTTGAGTCTCGACTGAAGTCTGACTGGCGGCCGAGCAGGGTAGGGTGGGCGTGGATCGTCTTGGAGGAATCGGGAATTTGGAGACGCAGGCAAGGCTTGCCAGTATGTACAGTAGTAAGTGGGAGTGGAGGGGGCCAGGGGCAGCCGAGGAGGGGAGAAGATACAGTGACAGAGATTCGACCGAGTACGTCTTTGTCTTTTTTGCTTGTGTCTGTCTGTATCCCGTAATCCGTATGAAGTTGTTATTGTAAGGTACTCTTGGTTCTGTATTCGGTTGGAAAGCGTTGCTGTAGTTGTGGTTTGTCGTTTGTGTTATTTACTGCTCTTTCCCTTGCTTGACTTCTTTCCTTTTTTCTTCGTCTCTGTCAAATTTTCCTGTATTTTTTGTTGTATTTTTTTTTTTTTCATAAACAAAAGCGGGCAGGAGATGGCAGATGCGCAGACACACAGACACGGGCAGAAAGAGAGAAAGATGGGAGAATGAGAGCAAGTGGAGCTTGGGGGGAATGGGGAATGGCAAGCGGGCCAATACCTGCGCTAAGGTACCTGCTGTCATGTACGTATTCCCCTAGTACTTGGAGAGATGGGAGTACAGCCTGGGAAGGGTAGGAGGTACCTTTCATTACCTTTCGCGCAAGAGCCACTGGGCAAATATGCACCGATAGCTGCTGACTGTTCGCAGCCCAGTGCCTTGAACTCTGAAGTACTTGACTACTTTGTGGTGCAAGGTACCTTAGGTAAGGATTCAAGGCAGGCGGGTGTCCACTCTCAGGGCATTATCCATGTTTGCAGGTGCATAAGGTACCTGGGACGGCGAGTGGGCCATCGCTACGAGTTAAGGCCAGGAGTGGCCCTCGCTGGCGCCTCTCTTCCAGTAGCCGTGGACGCGTGGAGCAGCAGGAGATGACTGCTGAACGCTCCGAGCCAGTCGCTGCCCCGGTAAAAATGACGGACCTGCAAGCCCGCGCCCAGCACCCAGGGGACCTGCCTGTGATGTCCTGCACCCTCCATTGGGCCGTTCCTTGCTTTCCTACGCAGTAATGCACCTCAGCTACCAGGTACTTGCCGTCCTTGCCTTATTCACTGCTTGGTTCATGTACCGCAATAAATCTAAGTACCGTGGGTAGTGCCATCAATGTTATACACAATACGACAATTAATTCACCCATTAATCAACGCCTCCTGTTCATTCCTACACACTTCGTACACTTTCTACGCAGTGCTGTGTATGTAATACTCACTCCTTACACAATGCAGTACGGATGCAATAACTGACTTGGAACTAACTCCACGACTCTCTTTCCTTTTTGTCACAACCTGCCCATGCTGACCCGGGCAATAACACGCTCAACCTGTTGATAACACACCGCAACAACCAACAGCCAACAGGACTGAGCACACGGCCCGGCTCAAGAGCAAACCACACCTCACTTGAATTCCCATCCCACGCCTTCTTAGTCACAAGCAGAAGTTACAACTGCCCGACGGAATCCTTCCTGCAACGGACCGCTGCTTGTCTTTGTCCTCGTCTCGTTTGTTCCTCCTTCTCGCCCGCTACGCAACTTCCAGCATGGTGAGGCAGCGCCAACCAGCCGCCATGTTCCATCTCTGTTCCGCTTCTCATTCTCATCCTTCCCGTCTTCTCTGCTCCAAATACCTTACCTACGGGTGCAACAAAAGGTACACTTCCAGAATACTGTACCCAAAGCAGTAATATCCAGAATGCTCAACGAAGCCCCTCTGCAACACTCTTGACTCGAGTCCAGCCTCCATCCAAGCCTCGATGCTTCTTTGTTGCTTCCATGGACGCCCCTCTTCTCCAAACAACCCAAAACAGACCAGCTCTGATCCGTACCGATGCTACACTGCTCAGAGGGGGGGGGGGGGGACTACTCTCGCCACTGCCACCAGCCTACCGGTGCCAGCCCCCTGCCACTTCACAAAGAGGCTATTCCAGAAACCAATCGAGCCAACGTCTATCTGGGCTTGGGAAATCCGGGCTGCCGTGGGTGCGTGGAAAGAAGAAACACCGAAAGAACACCACCTGTCCTAGCGCGAGATCGGCTGAGACCTGCTATCTCATCTCCTTGGCACACTCCAGCAGGCTCAGTAACCCACACTCTTGCACCCGACAACTGCCTACGGATACGGTACACTCACTAATACCTGACTACTTGCTTTGCTTTCCTCCTCAAATACCAACTTTTGGCGTTCTCGACCGGGCCTGTAATGACAGGGAAAAGGGTCACAGGCCGCCTCGTGGCCCTATTCAACACACGTCCGTTGAAGTTGGAACGCTTGTCCGTGTCTGGGACTCTTTAGTCTCTCGCCTTGCCAAGTTGCCAACATCAACCTGGTCTCACTCGAACCACCTTTGCTTTGAAAAATCACCTCCCTGACCCGGCCTAACTCTCGCGTGGTTGCTTGCCGATGACCATGGAGCAGATGGTACGTGTATCCGAAGGGGGCCGCCGCGCGACTACTACAACAACAACAACAAGAAGCCCACAACAACTCCCGGCGCTTTCAAAGAGCTGACGGAAGACTATCCTTTGCAGGGGCCATGCCTGAGCTCAGAAGCGCCCCCTCACTCTCGGAGAGAAACCCAGGCGTATCGATCCCCGGAAGCGCCGCAGCACTCGCTTCCTCGCTGTTACTCGCCATCTTTTTAATTCAGGCTCATTCAGCGGCAGCCTACCATTGCTAGCGGATAGCACTGATGGAGCCCGTCTGTGAACCCGTTGGGAACACCTACCTACAGAGTACAGATACATCTACGCTCAAACCATCAAACTTGCAGACAGGCCGCATGGCGGCGACATGCCGTCGACACTATCTGTCTTGTGGCCTCTGTGGACATTGTACCGTGCACAGCATAACCTATGAATCCTCAGCTCGTGTCGCCGACCACGTTTGCACGGCGTCAAGCCACGCTCGCTTCACTTCTGACACCTGCAGCAACTCTGCCTGTTTCTGTCTCTCATCTCGAGATTCGATGCCTACTTGCGTTGCCAAGTTTGTTGTTGTCCGTCGTCTATTCAGCCCATGGGCACCAGCATGCCGCCATCTGCCGTTGACTTGCCTCATCTCGAGACATACAATACCATCTTGGACTGCCACACCTCCTTGGAAAAGGTTTCAACAAAAAAAGGTACGGTACGACCATGACCACATCCTCTATTCCTCTTACACAAGCAGAAGAGTCCTTGCCTATCTTGTCAGCGCACAAGACTGTCCAGACGGTCTGTTCCTTATTCGCAGCCGTGCGGAGGACTCAGGTCCTAGGGTGGAGGAGGGACCGTGAAGCAAGTCGACAGAGACTTGTAAACAATACCGCGAACCGTTTCCTATCAAGTCGACCAAGGAAGACCCTTTGATCTCGCAGAGACCGGCTCGGTTTTAGCAGCTTTTTCTTCTGCAACCGTCGTCTTCACCTCCACCACCACCACCAACATGGCGCCATCAATCTACTCCGTACTCCTCCGCCTCTACCACTCGCCAACGGCGATCCGTAAGCTACCGGACGCTGATAGACGGCCATGGGAAGAGGAGCAGCAAGCAGAACTACATGTACCGGAAAGAATGGGGTTTCGTGGTACGGTGTGCGGGGGATGGAGCTGAAGCATCGGTGTTGGAGATCAGCCAGGCCAACAAAACAGGTCTCCAAAGAAAAGACCAGACGATGCAACTCCATCCGACAGCCACAGAGCCCATAAAGTTCGGCACTACGCACGGAGGAAGTGGCCCTCGTCCTTTTCCCCGCCTCCCGGTATTTTCTTTCAGCTGGTCCGATGCATCAACAAGCCGGGGCCCTTTGTGCTCTTCTTTTCTTTTTTTCTCCCCCCTCTCTCTCTCTCGTCATCTCATCTGAAAACCCAGGCCACCGGGGGGCGATGTATCTCGCTTTCGTGGTATCGATGCTGCCACTGGCGATCTCTGTGAGACCCTGGTACACAGACGTTCACGCACTCACAGCGCGTGCAGCATGTTGCTTGTTATCCTAAGATCTTGTGCTGCGGTTCATCAGCAAAAGCCGCGTGGTTGAGCGAGACAACACAGGTTAAAGAAGAAACGATGCCCCAGAGACAGGCAGACCGCCGACCCAGCGGGCTGGCCGCCGGTCTGATGTTGTGATGGGATGGGACCTGAGTCTTGACCACCAGTTGAACCACCACCCCGCCCACAGTGACGAGGTGACATGGGTGGTAAGACTCAAGAGAGGAGCCTACGCAGTATCCAGTATCTAGTATCCACGAGCAAGGGCCCGCGGCTGGTGGGCCACCTGCCGGCCTGTGTTTTGAGTTGCGGTTGCCTGACAGCCATTGACAACGACAACAAACCAAAACAACAACACACACAAAAAGCAAAACAAGTAAACATCCTACCCGAACCGGCATACGCACACTTACAGATAACAGCATGGAAGGGGCCCTCCCCCCATGCTGTGTGATCCACGACGCAAGGCCCGTCACAAACATCATTACCTGGCTGTTGTTAGGTGATACCGCAGAACACGTCGTTTCAACATGCGCATGCCATGTCTTGAGACAGACCGAGATGGACTACCTATTGACTTTAATGCCCTGGTCCTTGCCGACGTCAGAAGAGTTTAGCTTGCCCAGACGTTCCATTTCATACCCCGCTCCTTCCATCTCTTTATCGTTCGCAGACGTACATACGAAGATGACTGAGAACTGAGAAGAGCGGTGGTTATCAACAGTGGCGAGTAGACTGAGGTGAGGAGGCTCGGGCACCCCTCTCCATACCAGATCAAACATCACTCCAGCCTCACCCCCACCGACGCAATAGATGAAGATGTTTCTGCTCTCTTGGGGGAACGAACCACTCTTTCGTTCAGGGTTACCCGCCCAATCAGCATGTCGCCTTTCGAACTGTCGTTTGGGATACACTAATATCCGTAATGCGTCCTTCACCCCCGCTCATGCCATTGGCAATCCAGCTGGGGAGGGGAAAAGAGAGGGTCTGACAAGACAAGGTCAAGACGACGATCTCTTGTGAGGCTCTCTCTCCGACTCCGACGTCTCTTTCTCCGCCAGCCATCATCTGCAAAAAAAAAAAAAAAAAAAAAAAAGAAGACAAGTGCGAAGGAAAAACTGCAGCGGCTGGTTTGTGAAGCACTGAGCAGTGAGCACGCACGTTTGCAGCGACCTCGTGTCGGTACTCACCCGCACCACTGCCATGTTTTCTTCTCGAGTACCGTAAGTCCGTACAGAGAAATGAAGAAAACATGCGGGAAAAGTCCTAGTTCCGCCTGGCTAGCAGCAAACTTTCCAAGTTTCGCCCATCCCGTCATACCGCAAACCCGAACGCCTCATGGTGTCCAATTCGTCAGCCAAACGCACTCATCCATATTCGAGGCAGCGCTTGCTTTAGCGGGCAGGGCGTACTTGGCATTTGGTGCTCTAGCGTAAAAGCTTTCTGCCCAATCTCTGAGCTTCAACAGAAGTCGGAAGAAAGGGAGATGGACAGCGAAACTAGAGCCGAATTACGACATGTGGCCCGCCATTTGCATCTGCAAATCCGGCATGGCACAAAAAAGATGTATTTGGGAAAGCTCGCTCCACGGGACCCCTGTTATCGTGGGATTCGGGAACCGGGGGGTGGAGGAACGATCTGACAAAGCCTTGGCCAATCCCATCTGCTGCCGTTGCGAGAAGCTCTTGAGCGTTTCGAGGTGACACAAATGATCCAAATTGTCTTTCTCCCAATGTTTGACCGAGAGCTTCAGCACCTCATCGTCACAAGACATTGTTAACATTTTCGAGCAGCCAAGGGTCCAAGGCTAAAGTAGAGAAAGGACCCTTCTCGCCGCGCCCTAAGCTGGGCCGAACGAAGCTCTAGCAAATGTCCGGTAGTGCATGATCCGGCTTTGAGCTTTCGAGAATAACGAAGCTACCGCATCGCCGGCCTTTACGACCGTTCCAACTAGAGCCGGCAATGAAAGAAACACGAAGCGAAGCCGTCTGGTGCCAGATACATTGGCGCCGCCCGATGAGGTGAACTTGGTCTTCCTGATGACCTGATTCTTCGTCTTGCGCATCCATGCAAGACTCAAGAAGAGAGAGAAGCGAGGCAAGGAGGGTAATATTGCGTGTTTTTTGTCCCTCGGTTCATAGAACAAGAATCGAGGTTCAGGCAGGTAGCTGCTCCATGCACACAACACACGGCCGGCCGACCAAGCCCGTAAGCCAATTGACCAGTAGGAGCTGCCAAGACATTGCTTCGAGGTTTTACTCCGTCGCTTGGTCGACGCCCAGGCCCGGAGAGATACCAAGTAGGGTTATAAGTTGAGAACTTATGATGGGGTGAGCAGCTTCCGATGGACTGATGAGTTCCAACTCACCTGCAATTCTTCTTTTCATATCTGAGAAAGACAGAAGAAGAAAAAGAAAGAAAGGCATGGTGCAGAATAGCCGCAGACCAGTTGGGATCTCAATCCATCCAGATGCCAGGCAATGTCGCGACTTGGGAAGCTAGTCCATGCAACGTGTGCATCGAATATCGACCAATGAAGGAGGTTGGTAGGTTATGAGAGGACGTTCGATAGCGCTCAGGGTTTCGACCAGAGGTCCAGGACCAGCGCACACCTCACAATCCCACACAGACTGTTGCCCTGCTAGTCAATTTAACCGCGTGAAACTTGAAACCATCAAAGCCTCTCTTGGTCCGCGGGGTTCGGTACGAGGACGTGGGAATCGGTATGGAGACTCGGAAGGAGGGTAGACTGGGAGAGCTCAAGAGGCAATGCGACAAGGCCAAGTTGTGGTCCGGTCTGCCGACGTCCCGGTGGTCGCCTGTGCAGACTCCATAGTAAAATAGTGTAAGCCTGCGTCGGAACCTGTCCTTATACCGCTCCCGGGGAACGGTATGCAGCTAGACGACCAGCTGATGAGTGTGTTCTGCAGGTCCTGCAAGATTCCTGCACGACAAGTCAGAAAAAACCTGCCATTGAATATCGTGCATGTACTTAGTCCTCTGCATCATCCAAAGGATTCGCCAAAGGAGCCACGGCCCCCCCCATTGACTGGATGTGAGCTTGTGAAGATCGTTCTGCCCGCAATCTTTTCCCTCCCGCAAACCAGACGGGAAACGTTCTCAACGATGGGACCCGACCCCCTTGGCGCTGCCGTTCCGATTCTCCGGTGCGGCGGTGCCGTCGAACCAGAAAAAGGCACAGGTTCTGGTGCCGACAGACTCTCCAATGACGAAATCTCGATAGGCAGATGCAGAGTCGCCAAAGTGGGACAGAGGTGGATGCTTGATCCATACTTGGAGTCTGAACAGGGAAGCCTGGCAAAGAGCCTCCAATATCAAAAAAAAAAGGCGCGTGTTCTTGATTTAGGTCCGCCCCAGAGAAATCCCGCAGGGAGTCGAGTAGCCAAAGTCAATTGGACATGGCCTTTCCCAACACGGAGGATCACCGTTGAACGAAGTTTGAATTTCGGTGTGATTCGCGTGCCATCGTAACCATCACAATCAACCTCATCACTGTTCCGTTGCTAGTTGGTAGGGGCAGAAGTCAGATAGATCCTGGTCCGTCATCTCGCAAGTACGAGTGCCCCAGTACAGAAAACAATCAAGGTAGGACAGACTCCAGAGAGGGTGGTAGATGTGGGAACGAACTGCGCGCCAGTGTCATCGGAATCAAGGTTTTGCTCCGGGGACCCCTAAAGCAAAGCTCTGTGGTTGCCCGATCTGTCTCGCATGCGACTCTGAGCGGGAACAGGAGCCAATATGTGGTCGTATTGGTAGGGCAAAGGTTTTGAAGGAGCAAGTCCAGCCTTGACCGTGAGCAGATGTTCCCACTTGACTGCAGCGTCCAACGTGATACGGAACTCGGGAATTGAATCCCACATTGAACTTCGGTTGGAGTTGGGTCCGCTTTTGGCCATGGAGAGGAGACAATGACCGAACCGTGACTGAATAGGATGACGCGGAATTGTGTCCGGTTCGAGGCCGAGTTCTCTGTCGCCGTCTACGAGTGAGGTCGAAAGGGTTTCGCTTTGGTTGTTGCTGCTGTTGTTGCTGCGTTGCAGCCGCCATCTCGTTTTCGTTCATTTCAACGTTTGTTTTTTCCCTTTGAATCTCCATGGCTCATTTCCATCCAAGACACTGATTGCGGCGATGATATCCCATTTCGTCTTCGCGTGTCCACTCTGGTGAGAGTTTGCACAGATTGTGCAATGAGCATCGAACATCGAAATAACTTTAACCTGCAACTGGGATCCCCGGACGGATCTCCAGCGCATGGCGGACGTAGTATGGCGTGAGCAGGGCCAAGTCCCCCAACGACATTCGAAACTTTCGCATGTTGATGGCTCTTTTTTCCCTCTCCTAGTGTCAGAGACTGATTGGTTGCCATGCGACAAATGAATAGACGATCCTCTGCAGGTCGTCGCGTGCGTCCTACGGCTGACGCGATTACATGCAGCTGCGCGAAACATTACACGCTGTTCGTCCATCTCCGCAAGTCGCGTCGATGGCCAAGGGTACCCAGCTCGATGCTCGGTGATCCGCGGCTCCCCATTCGCTGGTGTTGGTTAGACTAGACTCTGCGAATGCTTTTCAGCTGGCCAATGTCAAATTGAGACTTTGGGTTTCATCCATTTTCGGCAATGTAATGTCGGTGACGGCGGTGGCAATTAAGACGTATTTCGATAGAGCGTCTACAGCGTACGGATGGAGCGTCGAGAATTGCCGTTTTGCCCGTTTGTCTCAGCCGACTCCATGGTGTCAGGTCAATCGGCGATGTTATCCATGCTGTCGGGACTTCAAGAGGGAGACAACAATAAGTCTGAGTCGGTCCTTGAAAGACTTTGAAATATCGTTCATTCGCGAAAGGTTGACGGAGAGAAACATTGGATTGTGCCATTTGTTTGCCTCCTTCTGAATTCAGAATTCAAGAGCAGTTACCAGCATTCTCCAAATGCAGGAGTTCATTTCCTCTTTGCACCTGCCTCAATGGCAGTGTTGCTGTGTTGTTGCAATACATCTCATTGGTCAGAATGCTAGACATCGGCCTGAAGTCGCTGGACGCTGCCGAGGTGACATAAGCCGCCTCGAAGGACGTCCTAACGGGCCGAGCTTTATCCCGATTTAGACCTCAAAGCCCGGTCAGGGCACTCGGTTCAAGGTCCACATTTTGAGGCTTGTCGTGAATATCGCATCTAGATCACAAGTGAAGTCGTCATAAGGCAGTTGCAATAGCCTAGCAAAGTGACAATATTCTGGGCTTGCTGCTACCTCATTTATCTCACGTCAATCGACTGTCGCAGAGCCAATAGCTCTGCATCGCTAACAGATTCGTTGAAGCAAATTTCTACCATCACCGCCACCACAAACTTACAACTTTTTGTGTTGCAACCATGGATGCCGAGATTAGAACCGTCTTGCCGAACATCGACCCGGTGCTCTCCGAGTACTCGGTCGGGTACTTGACTCACGCATCAACGATCTACTCGGACGAGGAGGAGCAGTCTGGCGTCTCACCACTCGCCGAGGCAGCCGCCACTGTCACCGAGTTGTTGCTCTCTGCCTCTGGAAAGCCCGACGCTAAGCTCCAGGAGAAGATTGAGAAACTCGTTGGAAAATGGGTAGAGAAGTACACCGAGTCCAATGGAGGACTGCGAAGCGGTCCTTTGGCCGTCAGACGCCTTGATGAGACTTTCCAAGTCAGTTCTCAGCGGAACATGTCCTCCACTCTGGCCGTGTCAACGGGAGCTGTCGATCTTGAGTCTGCAAACGCTCGCAAGGTCGAATCAAAGGTTGATCGAAAGAAGCTGGAGAAGGCCGAGCGCAAGATTGCAGCCAAGCAGCAGAAGAAGACCTTCAAGACGGTTGAGTATGAGGCTTCCAGATTGCTCGACGAGCCTGAGTCTACTCAGTCATACGAGGAATTCTACATGGCTGTCAACCCTCTCCAGATGGGTGGTTCTGGCGCGAACAAGACCAAGGACATCAAGCTGGACAACATCGATGTCTCCATTGGTGGCCTGCGCATCGTGACCGATACGGACTTGACCCTTTCCTATGGTCACAGGTACGGTCTTGTTGGACACAACGGTGTTGGTAAATCTACGCTTCTTCGTGCTCTGTCTCGCAGAGAACTGCCAATTCCGCCTCACATTACCATTCTTCACGTCGAACAGGAGGTAAGAATGAATGCCGGCCATTCTCGTCTCTGTTGTATACTAATACTTGCATAGCTTACCGGTGATGATACCCCTGCAATCCAAGCTGTGCTTGATGCCGATGTGTGGCGCAAGGTTCTTCTCAAGGAGCAGACTGTAAGTAATGCGCACTTACAAATCTCTGGGAAAAGTGCCGTTATGCTGACAATCTTGTAGGAAATTACTCAGAAGCTGGCAGAGATCGAAACCCAACGTGCGGGCATGGCCGATACTTCAGCCGATGCCGCCAGACTCGACAAGGAAAGAGAAGCTCAAGACGGCAGGCTCGGTGACATTCAAGGCAAGCTTGCTGAGATGGAGTCCGACAAGGCCGAGTCAAGAGCCGCAAGTATTTTGGCTGGTCTCGGTTTCTCTGCCGAAAAGCAACAGAATGCCACCAAGACCTTCTCCGGTGGTTGGCGTATGCGTCTGGCGTTGGCCAGAGCCTTGTTCTGCGAGCCTGACTTGCTGCTTCTCGACGAACCGTCCAACATGTTGGACGTCCCCTCTATTGCTTTCCTTGCCAACTACCTCCAAGGATATCCGAGCACGGTTCTCGTGGTTTCTCACGACAGAGCCTTCCTCAATGAGATTGCGACAGATATCATTCACCAACACTCACAGCGTCTCGACTATTACCGCGGTGCCAACTTCGAGTCCTTCTACGCCACTCGCGAGGAACGCAAGAAGACTGCGAAGAGAGAGTACGAGAACCAAATGGCCCAAAGAGCCCATCTTCAGGCCTTCATCGACAAGTTCCGCTACAACGCGGCCAAGTCTTCCGAAGCCCAGTCACGTATCAAGAAACTCGAAAAGATGCCGGTACTCGAGCCGCCCGAGACAGAGTACAGCGTGCAGTTCAAGTTCCCTGATGTCGAGAAGATGTCGCCCCCTATTATCCAGATGACGGGCGTGACGTTTGGTTACACAAAGGAGAATATCTTGCTACGCAACGTGGATCTCGACGTGCAACTGGACTCTCGTATCGGCATCGTCGGTCCCAACGGTGCGGGTAAGACAACTATTCTCAAGTTGTTGATCGGAAAGCTGTCGGCCACGTCGGGTATCATTTCGCAAAACCCCCGTCTGCGCGTCGGCTTCTTTGCCCAGCACCATGTTGATGCCCTTGACTTGACGATGAGTGCGGTTGGCTTCATGTCCAAGGAGTACCCCGGCCGGACGGATGAAGAGTACCGCAGACAACTGGGTGCCTTTGGTATCACGGGCACGACAGGCCTGCAGAAGATGGCGGTGCTTTCCGGTGGTCAAAAGTCGCGTGTAGCGTTTGCTTGCCTTGCGTTGACCAACCCGCATATCTTGGTTCTTGACGAGCCTTCTAACCATCTCGATATCGAGGCGATGGATGCGCTCGCTACGGCCTTGCAGGAGTTCCAGGGTGGTGTTCTGATGGTTTCTCACGACGTCACCATGTTGCAGACAGTGTGCACCTCCCTCTGGGTGTGTGACGGAGGCACTGTTGAGAAGTTCCCCGGTGACGTCCAGGCCTACAAGAAGAGAATCGCAGCCCAAGCCGATGCGGCTGGTGTTGTCAAGGCTCATTAAGGGAATGTGTTGTGGCCATGATAGTTTATGTAGCTACCATTATTCTGCAAAAGATAATGCCTCGATCGTCAGTCACCTATGCTTTCAGTGATGAGTGCACTTTGTGAACTTTATGAAATTGATCTGCGTTTGATAGCTCTCAGGCACACCGTTAGCTCATTTGGCAGCAATGGAGCCCCCCTTGCAAATGTTGAGCTCCACTAGCAATTTAGCATTTTCGGTCAGTGCTTGAGGATCAGTGCCGAGCAATCCAATGCCATTCATGTTGGTGCACTCCTAGGCTCTGTGTTTGACATTGGCTTTCGGTAGGGCTGCTCGATGCCAGTGCCGCACCGGCTCCGATTGTCAGAGAGTCCGTAGCCTCCCGAAGCTCAGCACCATTGCCTGCAATTCATGCCTTGGATTCCCGGGTTTCTTATGGAGTGGTTGGTACTTTATCTAGACGTGTCGTTGGATGTTTGGATGCCTCAGCAGATAGTCGGTCACCCCGGGTCTCGGATCGGAAAGAACAGAGGAGACGAAATACAGGGGACCTTGAGGTACGTACCGGTTGTGGTCGCGCTGTCTGCCAATCTGCTGTCACCTCAACTCATTCAACCCCACTTCCAATTGGTCTTTGGGGGGGACACTGGGGGGCACTGGGGGCCACTAGAACGGCCACTTGGAGAGACTTGGGCGGTCGTGGGCGGGTGCCTTGCACTGGTCTTTCCCCAATCGGGGTCGTGCACGGGCCCGACTAGCACCACGCAGTAAACAAGCGAGCTGCACCCCTTCCCTCTGGCCTGTCGCTGGCCTGTCGCTGGCCTGTCTTCTGGGCGTCCACCGAG